TTTCTTTTTTCTTTCTTTCTTTTCGTTTTTTTTTTTTTTTTGTTTTGGTTGCTATTTATTTTTCGGTTTTTGTTTTTTAGATAAATTTTTATTTGAATTTATGCACATGTGCGTTGCACACGTGGGTCTGTGTGCGCGTGTGTGTGTGTGTGTGTGTGTGCGAATGTGAGGAATGCGCTACGCAAAAATTTGTGGACATTGCCGACTTAAGCAGCTGCAGCTGCAGCAGAACAAATTCGAAACTTTAGTTAAATATAGACCAACAAACTGCCACTGTCACATATGCTATAGCTATCGATAACATTTCTCAAATCGATTGTCGTTATCGGGACATTGCATAGCGCCTAGCTTGAGTTAAGCTAGTCGAACTCTTGTCGACTTTGTTGCGCTGCAGTCGTTGCGTTGCGTGTCGCATGGGGTCGCACACAGCACACGTTGGCCTTTGTACATGTTTGTGTGTGTGTGTGTGTGTGCACTGCAATACCAGCTACCCCGTGCCTCCGCGCTTACGGGTCTTTCGTGCGTCGCTTAAATTCGTCAAGCGTTGCAACAAAGTGCGTTTTGTACTTTTTCTTTGCACTGGCGTCGACGCTGTCGTCGTCGTCGTTGTCGCTGTCGCTGTTGACGAGCAAAAACACACACACACACACACACACACACGCAAGCAAAAAAGTAATGGCAAAAGCTTTCGCCACACACATGTGCACACACGCATACGCAGCGGCAGAGCCAAGAAATATAATAAAAACGACAGCGACTATTTTTTTTTCGTCTGTTTTTTTTGTTTTTGTTTTTATTTCAGCTGCTTGTTCGCAAAAAATGTTCGCTTAAAAAGGCAGAAGCGGCGACATTTTAGCAGCTAGGGGGGGTGGCGAGGCGACGAGCGGGATCCCAAGCGTGTGTCGAAAATAAGAGAAAATCAGAAGAAGCAGAAGAAAACGTAATGTGAAAATATATTTGTGCCGGAAGCTAAAAAATGTGATGTTTTTTTTTTCTTTTTGTTCGACGCTGCTGCCGCTGCCTTCATGCGCTATGCTTAAATATTGCAAGTACAGTTGTGCGCGCTGCGCCTAAATGCACGCTTCAAGTGCTTTCCACTGGCTGCCAAATTATTATCCGATGTAGCTAGAGCTTGGACAGGGGAGGGGGCGACGTGAGGGACATCTGCCACAAAGGATTCGCCTTATCAATGCGCAAAATATTGAAATTGAAAAATCGCCAAATGTTTTATTTAATTATTTTCGAATGCATTTTCGCGCTTCTCGTTTTGTTTGACATTTTTCTCATTTGGCCCGCTAGGCCGTTTGTTTCGTTGCCGGCGTCATAAATTATGGCCGGCCATAGGGGAAATGGAAAAGGAGAAAGCACAACTATTTGCAACACGAAATGACAAAACAATGAACGAGGCCAAACAGCAGCGCGACTTTCCCTATATGCCCGACTCTCTATGCGCTTCTCATGCTGTGCAAGTGAGGTTAGTTTTGTGGTTCGACAAACAGTTGGAATTAGAAGAGGATTTTGTAATTTTTACATTTGAATTTCGGGTAAAGGGGATATACATATATATAAAATACACATATACATATACATGTATGCGAAGGCCACTTTCGATGCGCTCCTTAATCTGTAGAGTGACGTTAGTCTGTAACGGGAATTTGGGGATTTCAATTTAAAGCGGATTGCATTATAGCTGATGCAAGTACGTGGACGACTCTCTATGCGCTTCTCATGTTGCACAAGAGCTTAGAAAGTGGTAAATTTTAATGGAGGCGACTCTCTATGCGCTTCTCATTGACTAAAGTAAGGTTAATTACATGTAGCGCAGATCTAAAATAAATGTACTTTATGCATACTTGGAACTCAATTATTAGGCGCCCTTCTATGCGCTTCTCATGCAGTCTAGTGGTTCAACTGAATCCACATTTCATTGCTTACGTATTGCGATTCCACACAAATGACTAATTGCGTCTTTCTATGCGCTTCTCATTGTGATTGCGACTGGTATTTCGAGAGAATCTTTAACAAACTACGTAAATGTTTACAAATACTTCAAATACATATATCAACTGATAGACTAGACTGTGCAGGGCAGATACAGTAGCGAATACGCTTCGGCTTAGATGCGGCCTTACGTTTTGGCCATATTGAAAATTATAGTGTCGTAAACATGCAACTGCAATAGCCACGAACAACAACAGCAACAACAGCAGCAACAACAACAGCAGTAGTAAAACAAAAAATTAAATTAAAATAGAAAACAAACTCTCGAACATGGTCAGCAAATAAATAAAAAATGGTCAGGCTAAAAATGCTAAAAACAAATAAAGCAAAAATATGCTAGAAAAAAATAAAAAAAAAATGGTGAAAAAAGCGAATTGCAAGCGGAAATTGCAATAGCAATGTTTTGCCACTGTATGTGTGTGTGTGTGTGTGTGTGTGTGTGAAGTAACAAAATCCGCTGGCCGCATAAAAAACAACATTAGAAACCAATGCAAACTAGCTGAAACACAAAAGGAGAACAGGGGGAAAGAAGGGAGGGAGAGAGAGAGAGAGAGCGAGAATGAGAGGGGGATAGGGAGCTAGATAAAGAGAAATGACATTTTGCTGTGCGAAAACTTATTGCACAGAGTGTTTACAATATATATATATATATATATATATATATATGTGGGAGTAAATGTATGTGTGCGTGTGTGATAGAGATAGCAATACGTATAGACAAAAATACGAGTGATTTTGTTTTTGTTTTTGTACAGATAGAAAGAGAGCGCACTACAACATGGAACAACAACAACAACAACAACAAAGAGTTTAAAAGAAGAAGAAATAAGTAAAATATATATATTTATGTATATATACATATATATAGAGATAGATTAAAATATACATATATAATAGATCACATTATTATATGGTATATTTTTTGGTATTTTTTGCTTGTCCAAAATACTTTTGTCTATATACATACACATATATATAATAAAAAATAAAACGTATATATATGTATATAGCTATATATGTATATATTAAAGTGTGTATGTGTGTGTGTGTATATATGTATATAAATATTGATTATGTATGGAGATTAAAGAAATATATACGTATATATTATATATAGATATGTATATATATATAATAAATACACATACATATACATAATAAATACATATACATATATATACAATTCATAGACAAAGAACACGACGAAGAGCAAAAACATGTGTTGAGTTTTGATTTGTTTTCTTTGCTTAGATTTGGTATTGTTTTTTTTTTTTTTAAATTATTGTTATATATAATATATATAATATTGAGAGAGAGAGATATATATATATATAAATATGCAATGTATATATAAATGGCAGGTATATAAACGACAGACAAAGAGAGAGAGAGAGAGACAGAGAGAGATAGAGAGAGAGAGAGAGAGAGAGAAAGGGCGTATACGTAATATTGTGTTGAAATAATAATTTGAACTAGAGCTTGGAGCATTGAATTGGGCGCAATCAAAAGATAGAAAATGTGTAAAAGAGAGAGAGAGAAAGTGAGATAGAAAGAAATGGAGAGAGAGAGAGAGAGAGAGAGAGAGAGAGATGAGGCGTGTAGCCATATTGTTTGATGTATTTAAATACGTATTTGCTATAGAGAGATATAGCTAGCATTCTCAGTGAAATCTCTGAGCGAGAAGGATAGAGAAAGAGAGAAAGAGAGAGAGTGTGTGAGAGAGTTTCTCGAGTCGAATTCGTTTATATATGTGTATATAGATTATTTTGTTTGAAGACCTATCGAAGCAGCAAAAGCATTCACTGAATGGACTTGGAACAGGTTAACGGATTATCAAATGTTCGGTGGGGGGGGGAGGAGGGGCACTTGGCACTGACTGTGGAGGGTTTTTGCTTTTTTTTTTTGGTTTTTTGAGGGAGTGTTGGGCGGACTTCGGGTATGGCTGGGAGTATTTGCTGGAGATTTGCGACTTACCGATTCGTGCGAGGCGCGATAATCCAAATCGCCGCCCAGTCCGCCGCCAGCTGATGCCGAACGCGGTTGCATGTGTCTACTGTGACTGCTGTTATCATCCTCACTGCAATCGATCTCTTTCTTGAGGCTCTGCAAGTGTTGAAGGATATGTTAGTAAAAAGTCTTACTAAGAGGGAGAGAGAGAGAGAGAGAGAGATGAAGGTGAAGGGAGAAGAAGAAATAGAGCGACTAGCTATGCATTAGATTTGATATTTTTCTATGTTAACTCAATGTTAATGTCTATAGAATAACAGACTATAGAATAACAGAAGCTTACACTTAACATTATTTCGTTCACATTTGGCTAAACTCAACAAATGAATAAAAATTAACTAAATACAGTAGAATCGGGTTAAAATGGCGCTCAAGGGTCTATCCTTATATCTGGAAGACCCATCCAACTTCGCTCGTCTAAGTTTGCCTAGCCGTACGGACGCTATAGGCAGAGTCACTATAACCGGATTCTACTGTAATTGATATCGAAAATTCTCCTAAGCGACTTTCAGGATTTCATCCAACGATTAAATGGCAAATCCCCTTGAATATATCACAAATCCGCCTGTTATCGATAACTTAAAAAGCTGCTGGAATATAGTTATCGACAAGATTATAAACCGTAACTAATCTAGTCTATGCATACGCCTCTATCCCTTCCTATCCTATTCTTCATTGAATATATCACAAATCCGCCTGTTATCGATAACTTCCTTAACTACTGGAACATAGTTATCGACAAGAATATCAGCCTTAACTAATCTAGTCTATGCATACTCCTCTTTCCCTTCCTATCCTATTCTTCATTGAATATATCACAAATCCGCCTGTTATCGATAACTTCCTTAACTACTGGAACATAGTTATCGACAAGAATATCAGCCTTAACTAATCTAATCTATGCATATGCATCTATCCCTTCCTAACCTATTCTTCATTGAATATATCACAAATCCGCCTGTTATCGATAACGTCCTTAACTACTGGAACATAGTTATCGACAAGAATATCAGCCTTAACTAATCTAA